CATGGCAGCTAACAACCTACCATAACTCCAGTTCCAAAAGATCTAATACCCTCTTCTGGCCTCCATGGGCATTACATGCATGGATGCACACACACACACACACACACACACACACACACACACACACATACACACACACCATACACATAAAATTTTTAAAAAATTAATTAAAAATTCTTAAGTAGCAGAAGCCAGTAATTTGTAAAGCAAGTGTTTCTTCTCTCCTCTCCTCCTCCCTCCTAATCTCACCAGCAAGTTTGGTGAAAAGTTACCAGTGCAGGTACAAGGAGCTGGAGCTACAGAAACCAACATGACCAACACAGTCCCTGCTTCCTGGGACTTAGTCTAGTGGGAGGAGACAGACCAGAAGCAACGAAATGGACAGAATCAAGCCTGAGAAGGCTGCTGTATTCTGGTGGGATTCAAATGATGAAAAGAACTTTGTAGGAAGTGTTTCCAGAAAGATTGCTATAGTTTGGGTCTGAAATGACTCCTAAAAGCTCATGGACTAAAGACTTGGTCCCCGGCCAATGGCCCTGTAGGGAGGTGGAAGAACTGTTATGAGAGAGATCTAGTAGGACGAAGTTCTGTCACTGGGGGTGTGTCCTTGAAGGGGATATTGGGGTACCACTCTCTTCCAGTCTATCTTTTTTTCCTGGATATCACAAAGTTAGCAGCTCTGCTCCACCATGTGCTGCCCACAATGATGTTCAGCCTTGCCTCAGGCTCCAAAGTACCAAGCTAACCAACTGGTAGTGCAACCATCTGAAACTGTGGGCCCAGTAAACCTTCCTCCTTTTAAGATAGCTCAGGTGTTTTGTCATGGTGTCTGAAAGCTAGGATAATTACTGAAGGGCAAGTGTGTTGATTAAGAGGAAAGGGGAGTCAGCTCTTGATAAGCAGGACTGAGAGGAAGGCTCCTTCCATAGTAAATGCAATGAAAGGCTGCTAACGTTCTAAATGAGAGTGAAAGGGAATAGACTTTCTTTTGTGTGTATTTACACTTCCATGTGCTTGGATGCATGTGTAGCAGGGTACATGCATATGCACATGTGTGTGGAGGCCAGAGCTTGACATTGGGTGTCTTCCTCAGTCACTTGTCACCTTATGCATTGAGGCAGGATCTCTCACTTGTAGAGTTCCGGGAGATCCCTTGTCTGTACTTCCTGTGTGTTGCTATTATATTTATGTGACATTTATATGGATTCTAGGGATCCAAACTCTGGTCTTCATTTGTTCATAGAATGCACTTTGCCCAATAGATTATTTCTACAGCCCTTGCTTTTCACTTTTAAAGGACAACTCTGATGTATGGTGATGAAAACAGATATGCATGTGCAACAACTTGATGACATATGGTATTTATCTTGTAACTAGCTGCTGGTGTCAATTTGTGGAACTCCTCTGTGAAGTTATGTTCAGTAACTGTCTCTCAATCAAACACATCTTGTTTTGGGACCTTTCCTTGGCTACCCAAATGCAATAACTTAGTATGAAAAAAACGTAAGTCATAAGTTTGACATTTAGCATTTGCCTCCAGGATGTGGATATCAGATTTAGCTCTGAGTGACTTTCAGATTATTCCAGAAACTAGGCTTATTCTCAAGGAAAGGATGATGTTCTGCAAACGCCGTGCCTACAGATGTGAGCAGCATCAGCAGAATGTACTTTCCACCTATCAAGGTGCTTACTTTGAAATAGAAAACATTCATTAGAACAGTCACTCAAGTAAGCACCGAACACCAGCCAAAGAGCCAAGCACGAGGACATATCAGTGAACAAAGCAGACAGAAATGCCCCTCCTGTTGAACTTTAGTCTAGTGGGCCAGACATGCAGCCAGGAGAAAATGGTGGAAGATTATAAAATAGCAAAAAGTATGTGACACTTGGGACACTGGAAAGGGATTCTAATTTTCAGTGAAGTGGTCTAGCTGGGCCTCACAAAAGATGGTAACATCTGTATAAACCTGGAAAAGGGGAGGTAAGCAAGGCAGCTGCTTAGGGGAAGAGCATGTGAACAGAAAGGAAAGCAAGTACAATAGTCCTGAGGCAGGAATGGCTATGAAGCAGCAAGAAGTTAGCTTGTCAGCTGACAGAACTGTAGGACACAAGGTTAGAGGGTTAAGACGGGGCGGGGGGAGGGGGGGCTTGTAGCCATGTAAAATTTTGGCTATATCGATGAGTTTAGAGTCAAGCAGACAAGTGTCACAATCTGTCTTATGTTTTATAAGAATTTTCCTGGCTGGTGGTAAATGGACTACAAGGGAGCAAGAGTCCATGATTTTATGTTTTGGAAAACAACATTACATATCACATCCCTTTAATATTGTTAAAGAGGGGGAAACAGTTAACATAAAGCTTTAAAACAAATGTGCATAGCCCATCTTTCCTCCCCATAGCAAATCCCTCTTTCAAGTTCAGTCTCTTTCAGCCCTGAGCTAAAGGTATCCTTAGCCTACTTTCAGACCGAAGTCCAATTATCTTGTCCCATTGATCAGGATCTTCTTGGTCATAAGCAACTGAACACCTGACCCAAAAAGCCTTAAGCAATGGGCCTTTAACTATTTCATGGGACGAGCAGTCTGGAGACATGCAGGCAGGAGAGACTACTTTAGTCACTTGGGGATATCTGGGGTCTATGGACCCTTTCATACTTTTCTGTCATGGCTACAGGACATGCCACCATGATTCCAAATGTCTTGCTCACTGGAGGATGCCAAGACAAGAAGGAAATGACTTCTTAACAAGCTGGCAGGATCAAACCCTGCCCTTGACACTCCCCTACACATTTCCTGTTATATACTGACCAGAATTAGGTTCCAAGCTCAGCCCCTCAATCGGTCCCTGCTGGAGAGGGATGGAGTACAAAGGTTTCAATCAGTGGATCTCAAAGTATGATATGTGGCACCCTTGGGGAGGGGTTCCCCAAGAATCTTTCAAAGGGAAACTGTGAGCTCAAAAGCACTGTTGTCCTAACACTAAGACAATTGCCTTTCTTACTCTGTCTCTTACAGGTGTACAATGGAGTGTTCCAGAGTCTACCAGAAATAGTTTCATGGACAGAATGCAGAAGTAGCTATGAAAATCTGAAGGCCTTCTGCTATTTTTGCATGTAAAGATATATGCAAAATTTTAAATGCCATTCTTTTAACTTTGGGCAATTTAATTTTTCATTAAATGTTTTGTTTATGTTGACAGTAATTTTTATAATTTTTAAAAAAGTATCTTTAGTCGGGTGTGGTGGTAGCACACACCTTTAGTCCCAGCACTTAGGAGGCAGAGGCAGGCAAATCTCTGTGAGATTGAGGCCAGTCAAGTGAGACCCTGTCTCAAAAAGACCCAATAAAAAAGTACTTTTAAGTTCCTCAGTTTTCTGAAACCTCAGCAATTTTATGTGGGGAAGGAGGTCCTGAGACTCAGAGGTTGAAACCCTCTGGTTTATTCAGACAGGTTGAACTGATTGATGTAGCTAACCAGGGAGCTAGCTCTACTGATGCAAAACACAACTCACACCTCAAAGGGGAGAGGTGATAGATTATCCTGAAGCCAAATATGAGTGACCATGGCCTAGGAACACCGATTCAGGCTACCCCAAATTCCACGTTCCAATCTGGTGAGCTTCACGAAGTTTTTATAGTAACAAAGAAAGCCAAAAAAAATCAAGACACTTTTCAAGTGCATTGGTGGCAACATCAGAGAGGCAGGTTATAGCAAAGTGGGGAAAATTCTGCTAGAGGCCTTAGATGGAAAAGTGCTTGGAGCCAGACATTTTCTTGGTACACATTGCATGGGCCTGGGGCGGTTTTTCATCAACTTTTAGTTCACACCTGCCATTTCTTAGTCTTCCTGTTACTAGGTCCGTTTCTTCCTTAATTTCATTTATTTAATATCTGGGCTTTTCTCTTGTTCCTTTTTTTTTAACTTTAAAAAAGTATTTTATTTTTATATTATGTGTATATGTATAGTGCCTGCAAATAGGTAAGTGCACCGTGTCGTACAATGTCCACGGAGGACAGAAGAGGCTGTTGGATCCCCTGGAACTGGAGTTAGGGACTGTTAGCTGCCATGTGGGTGCTGGGATTCGAACCCAGGCCTTCTGCAAGAACAGCCAGTGTTCTTAACCGCTGAGGCATCTTCTCCAGCCCCTGGCTTTCTCTTTTTTAAAGATAGAGTCTCATACATCCCAAGCTACCCTCCAGCTCCCTTAATAGCAGAAGATGACCTTGAACTTCTGGTCTGCTGGGATTGCAGACCTGCACCACTAACCCTAGTGGTGTGCGGTGCTGGAGACTGAACCCAGGCCTTCAAGCATGCTACCTTGGCCCTGATTTTCCGCGTAACTTTGTGCCAAGGGCTTGTTTTGCATGCACGGTTCCTGAGGCTGCATCCTCCCTTCTCCTGGGCCTGACCTAATTCTGGGGGCCGGCGGGCGTCTCTCCGCTTGGGCCAGCGCACCTGGCTCTTCCGGCAGCTCCACTTTTGCTCCTGCAGGGGGTCAGAGGGGAGTCAGAAGCCGGGCTCCGAACCAGCTAGGAGCCCCACCCCCCAGCCCCGACAGATCCCGGGCCCCGAAGGCGGAGGACGTGAGCCGGGGGCGGAGAGCAGCGCTCGGCCGGGTGAATCCCGGGGCATAACAGGTGCGGTGGCCGCAGCTGCGCTCGCAGCGCGCCTGGGCTCGGGGGAGAAGGTTTGCATTTTCTCTGGGATTTTCGGAGGTGAGCCGGAGGCTCGCGGACCAATGTAGGCCGCGCTTGTTCGTCGCCTAGCAACCAGCAGAGCCAATGGGTGGCGCGGGCGCGGGGCGGGGTGGGAACCTGGGAGCTGCGCAGCGGGTGGAGGGAGGGCGCGGGGCGGAGCGCGCGGGTCCGGGCCGAGACGGGAGCGCGCTGCGGCGGAGGTG